GACCTATGAAAGCTGCTGTAAAGTCTTTTTTTATACTTATACGTTTTTTTTTCAAATTTCCTTTTATAATTATAATAAGATAAAATGAAATAAAAACAAAATGTAGAAGACGCAAAAGAAACAATTTTAGATCTTAAGTGGAAGTTAACGCAGATTATCTTGCCAAAAAACAAAACAAATGACAAAACCGGAGGTTGGTAGTGATCAAGTTTATAACACAATGCTGACTGTGACTGTTGTACCTCTTTTTTTGACATTTTTACCTATTATATCTGCTTTGTTCACACAACGTTATCAATATATAATGGAATTGTATGCGACTGTCATACAAGTGAGAGATTTAGATAGCTATAAAACCAGATTTAATCCATCATTTTCTACATAAAGAAAATGTTTGTACCCATTCATGAATATGACAGGTGTTATCCATTCGTTTAATGTGTTTGCACTTTTGATTTTGCCATTTGATTAGGGACTCTCTGTTTTGAATTTTCCTCAGAGTTCGGTATTTTTGTTATTTTACTTTTTGGTAAGCAGATCTTTCGTTGAAAATAAGTAAAATTAAAAAGGGGAAGTCAATAAAAACTGACAAAATCAACGAAACGAGTGAAAAACTAAGGAAGTCGAGAAGGATCATTCAATAACGAAATTCAAAATTCATAATTCAAAATTCAAAATTCATAATTCAAAATTCAAAATTCATAATTCAAAATTCAAAATTCATAATTCAAAATTCATAATTCGAAATTCAAAATTTATATTTCAAAATTCAAAATTCAAAACTCAACAATTCTACATTTATCTATCATGTTTCCACGCGCTTAAGAAAACAACAAACAAAGATCGCACTTTAATATACTTCTGAAAGCTATTTTATACAGTTTGTAAAGAAAACGAACCCATTAAAACAAGGTAAATGGTCCGTAAAACCTTCATCGGGATGCATTCTACTTTACCCTTGGTAAAACAGCGTCCTTGCAAGTAGCAACCCTCTATCAAGAATATGAGAAAGGAAAATCAAGCCCTATTTTGTCGTTCTGTATCGTATATATATTCAATGTGCAGGCACAGCTAGAATGATGCTTCGCTTTTATGGAACGTTCACAGTGAAAAAATTGAAACCATTGCTTTTTCGTAAAGCTGAAGATGTCAACGAACCTTCACTGTCAGTTTTTGAATGTTCTGACTTGACTGTACCTATGGTATAGATTTAAAAAACCTAAGTTGACTGGTGTATTAAAATAATGTCATCCATAGTCTTCTTCCGATTGGCAGTGTTACGCTTTGCAAATCAAGTCCTTTTTGCTGTATTGGATGCATAAATTTGCAGTCACGCCCGGTCATATTTGAAACGTTTAATCCAATGATTCGTGTAGAGAGATTATTACGATCTCTGCACGCGAAGAACCTTGCAACAACTTTTGAGGGGTCTTTTTGCAATACCAAATTTGTCACCTTGACTGAGAAAATGAACCCAGATGAGATTTATACATATTTTCAGTTTTTTGCATTTTTTCAATGCTACTAATGTGCTTACCATGACTACAAAATTTTAGATGATATCTCTACTGGTTTCGAAAATACAGCAGTTCATACTCGGCATACATTTGCGTACATAATTTATAATCAGAAAAATATGGAAATTCAAACAAAATTCTGACTTATTATTTTCTTTGGTAATTGAAATGTTGTAATTGTGTTCCACTTCAATATTGTATTATCTATAAATACTCCAGAATTGAATATCTATATAGATGACAAAAATCTAGGTTTTTGTGTATGTTTATGCGTTAAATATGTGGTTTCCATTTAAACAAAACAATAAATATTCTAGAACTTCTTTTTTCATATTCTCAAAATGTCTTAATGATTACATATATTTTATGTGTTGTTTCTGGCGATTATGTACTGTCTACATGTCTTTTTCCCCAAATCTGTATTTTTTTTTTGGCATTGATACTTTGAAATTAGGTGCCCTTTTTTTATTTTTTTTTATGAGTTGCTTTTCGTTATCGTATGTTTTGAATGTGTGTTTTTTTTTTATATGATATATAAAAAAAAAAACTTCCCTCAGATTGTTTTCCAAAATTCAATGAAATAAAAACTTGAACTTAGTGGCATTGCTACTGAAAATGTCTGTACCAAGTGCAAGATATACCAGTTCTCTGCAATGTGGTCAATTTATTAACAGATTATTTCTGTTTATATTGACGGTTGGTGATAGTGTGTTTTATATCATCGATCTCAAATATGTCCCATATGGCAGGAAAAACAACGTTTTCCCTTTTTAGTTTGCTTTAGAATAGAATAGAAACTATATGATTTCACATATAAAAAAAAAAAAATTTTGTCAAACGCAATAAGGTGAAATAATAGAAAAAACGTAGGGTATTGGATATCCAACCACGAGACAAAAACCGTTCATGCACAGTAAAAAACACACCAGAAGCAAATAAACACCGCTTTTATTGCTGTTCGTCATCTCAAAGTCACAGTGAGGCCTATAAGACTATTGACGGTACCAAATTAACTGCATCACCAAACGATGTCACTTGGTGCAAAACTTCAAATTTGGTGTATTATTTAGTACTTATGAAAATTTTGTAGTAGAGAATTGATAAGAAGTAGTGGATTCGTAAACGATAATCAACGAGCGACTTTAGTCGCAAGTTGATTATCGTTTACGAATCCACTACTTCTTATCAATTCTCTAGCTTAACCCATTTCTAGAAAAACGACTGTCTGTTTTATGTTTTGACAATGAATCAACGGAATTTCATAAAAATAATTTCGTATTTTGTCTTTTTTTTTTCTATAATAGCTGGAAATGATTATATCCACACGGTTCACGTCTATATTTAAGTTAACATAAGTTTAATATAACTTAAACGGGTTGTTAGCTCCCCTTTTTATTACCAGATTTCATCTTGTATATTTGTATTTCATTAAATGCTTTATCATTACAATGTATTTAAATTATATAGATTTTGGTATTTATGATTTATTCAAAAAGACATATATAAATATACAGAATTTATTTACCTTTTTTTGAATAGTTAAAAAATTGTAATTACCAAAATTTAGAAACCTTTGAAATTTACATATATAGTATTTAGCAATCTGCTAATGTTTACAGCTGATTAAATATTGTCTACAATTTAACCGTATTAAGTCAAATACATATATTTAGCGTAGTTGCCATAATACTACAATTTCATGATGCTCCAATTAATGATGCTTTCCGAAATAAATAAAATAATTGCTTAAGGTCTTTTTTGAACAATTATACATGAATTTTGTTTAAACTGTTTCCCTTTCATTAAGTTAAGATTATTTGTAACGTTATTACATTTGACATCCATCGTAAACCAGTCAATAAACTAGTATTATCTTTGGTACGCATTCTGAATCTCCAGCAAAATTGCTCTTGCTACAGATGTACAATGTATAATTATGTCATTTATTTACTTTTACATTCAAGCTGTTCATAGCCGTGATCGTCTAGTCGTTGGTACCGAAAAACATAACTGTGACATTAATAGTGCCAAGTTCAAACCTTGTACCCGAATTGAAAGTTTTTCATTGTAATTTTTTTCTCGACAAAAATATTGTTTTAATCTTAGAGGTATTATATACTTCATTTTCATTTAAGGCGATGATTTTGTTTCTGGTTTTACAATCAAAGAAGTAGTTTTACGGTCGTAGATTATATATCACACTTTATTCAAATTAGAGTCCGTTCAATGTTGACGTGATGTATATTTGGACCATTTATAATCAAACAAAGAAAAAATTATTGATAGTACGGTATCATTATAAGACTAAAACCATAAGTAAGTATTTGCCACGATGAAAAGGAAAAGTCCTTGTACATTAAAAGTGACAAGTGTAATGGGCATATGAATGTTTATTTTATCAAGGAATTGCACTAATATATACAATTCCTTGATTCTCTAGTGTTTAGAACTAGTGTGTAATAGCCACAATCGTATAAAGACCCATCGGTTCATTATAACGATTTTGAAAATCGACCAATGTTCAAACCTGACATCGTATATAAACTCTTTTTTAAGATATTTCCATACTGATATATAACTATAATCCAGAACGTTCAAATGTAGAACATAATCTTCCTTAAAAAATAACGCCCAAAATAAAACAATTTAAATAAATTTGAAAAGAACATGAATAAATCCAGACATAGTATATATATTTTATTAGATAACAAAAGCGAATTATCTCTGAGACAGAAATACAGTTTATTGACATGTATTGACAGTTGTGCGCTTTAAGAGTGTTATTTAAATGTTGATTTATGTCAGCACTCGTGGTATAGTGGTATCATGCATAGACTGAAGACTCTACTGGTTGTGAAGAAAATACGCGCGAGTTCGAACCCTTCATATGCCACTTGTTTTTGAGAGGATAAAAAATAGTAAGTTAAAAGTTTAAAGTTATAAAATAAGTTATCTTAAGTTAACGAAGTGGTCAGTCGATTCTTGAAAAATAATCTACTGTAAGAACAATATACTGACGTCAGAGAAATGGGTTAAAAATCAGTTAATACTTTGTGTTGGTCTACGACATCTGAAGGCTCATTATTTTGTGATTCAAAATAATAAACGTTTTGCTTTCTCACTATATCCAGTAAAGTGGCTATTGTGAAGTTAATCTCCGATAGTACGACTTTGTAATAGTTTATTATTTAGTATCTGCGATACTTATATTGACACGCTGTGATGGTTATAAACATTATTTTTAAATCTCGTTTATGCATAAGTCAGGTCCATGCCATGACAACTTCTATTTTTCCTTATATTAATTTCTTGTTTAGGATTGTGGAACAAAATTATTGTAGTCTTGAGCATCACTTGAGGCTATAATTTGCATCTTTTGCATAAAGGTCAAGAATTGTTATCACATATGAAATACAATATGTTACTATCATAAAATAACTTTAATTACATAAAACAAAGTATTGTCTGTTGAGAGTGTTCCAAACCAGTATGAACTCTATTAAAACACAAAAAATATATAATTTTATTAAAGAAATGCTTGAAGATGTACTCCATAATTTCCAGTTCCTTCTGAATTACTAGCTATGCATTCATAATTGCCCACATTGGTAGACACAAAGTTTTGTATAGTTAACGTATTTCCTGTCACATGTGCATTACTTGGTAGCGGTCCATCCTACAAAAAGGTCGTTGATGAAAACATTTGCAGAACATAAATACGTTTTGAATAAGATATGCATTTCAAACCTGGTTCAGCATTTACTTGTTTGTAAATCAATATATCAATCTGATATTTGCCAAAGGTTTACCATAGCGAACCGAATAATTATTTTTTGTTTGCTTTATGCTTACTTGGAAAGCATTATATTTGAAAACGTTTTACATGTTTAAGACTTTAGCAAGTATGATTATGTTTCTTATTAAAATTAGCACAGAGGAACACAGAATATAGTGATACATTCAAATTGCAATCATAATCTACTTATGAATAGTTGCTGTCGGCTCTTAAGAAACCTAAAGTGTTTTCTTTTTATTGTAATCGCACGGATATTCTGCTTTATATCTGTTAAATACCACCTCAGATTTTAAGTTTTTTTAAATAACTATGATTTCTATAAAACAAATGAATATGACAACATACAGTTTTCAACAGTAGAACAGGTTTTGCATAATAGGTCTCTATAAGTTTTTAATAGTCTCAAGTCTCAAGTCTTTAAAAGTTTGAAATAGATTTAATAGAAACAATCAAACATATTCTGATCAATCTTTCAAGATAGCAAGTTCACTAAGTGAGATCGTCAAATATTTTGCAAGAGAAATAATGCAATCATAAACACTTTTTGATAATTGTGTCCTCACCCTGAATTCAAAATTGTAAACTGGCGGCGGATAACCAATGGCTGTACATCTAATGCTGACGTTTTCGCCAAAATGGATAACTTGTGGAATTCTGGTTACATCAATAATAATCGGACTACTCACTACAAAATCAAATTTATTAAAATTCGCTGTTTTCGAATTTATTTTTAATTAATGAATGTATCTCCATCATATTTAGCTGATTCAATTATTGTAGCTCTTTTTGATCTTGTCTACTCCTCAACATGTGTATAATGATTCGGACTTTCAAATAATTTTGACTATAGAGAATAAATTGTCAAAATGCACATCTGATGCAATAAAAATGGAACCGTTAATATTTCTAAAGTATACTGTCCAGGGAATGTTTAAGCGAATGGTGGTACATGACAGGAAGTAAATGGTCAAAAGAAACATAACCGTAATCATAACAATATATTGCATTTATCTAAAATGTTAATCTCATAAGTTTGTATTGCATGTCGTATTGATAGTTTTGTTGCTCAGTCTTGAGTCATCTATGCTGTATTTGTACACTGTGATGGGTTGAGATCTCATAAACATGTTTAACCCCGCCGCATTTTTGCGACTGTCCCAAGTCAGGAGCCTCTAGACTTTGTCAGTCTTGTATTATTTTTAATTTTAGTTTCTTGTGTACAATTTGGAGTTTAGTATGGCGTTCATTATCACTGAACTAGTATATATATTTGTTTAGGGGCCAGCTGAAGGACGCCTCCGGGTGCGGGCATGTCTCGCTGCATTGAAGACCTGTTGGTGACCTTCTGCTGTTGTCTGTTCTATGGTCGGGTTGCTGTCTCTTTGACACATTCCCCATTTCCATTCTCAATTTTACTGTTGTTTTTCTGTTATTTACTATGGGTTTATCAGTTTATTTTGACTTATGATTTGATTATCTCTTTTGTATCTTTGACTTTTTCAATGAGTCACGTGCATCAATGTGAAATAGCTGTATTGCAAACATTTCGAAAACGTTTTTACGTTTTGGTATTCCAGATCTTCGAATATGTTGTTTAAATAATAAATACGTACACGTCGATTGGTATGCTGTTGTAGGTTCTGATTGTGTTGTTGTGTCAGTAGTAGATAATAGTTGTTGAGCTGTCGTTGTTCGGCGAGTTGCAATCGTCGTTTGTTTAGGTGGAGTTGTTGTAGATTGGAGAGTTGGAGCTGCTGTAATTTTTGTAGTTGGAATCGTTGTAGATTGGACAGTTGGAATAGCTGTCGTTTTGAGAGTTGAAATCTTCGTCGTTTCCTGAGTGTTTGTTGTAAACGTTGGTGTCATGGTTGATGCTTGAGTTCTTGTTGATTTAATCTGGGACGTCGTTGACTTGACTGTCAGGGGTTTCGTAGGAGAAGTTGACGGTTTCAAAGTTGATATGGTTATTGTTGTTTTTTTACACTGATCGTTGCAGACATCCACATCACAGCAATGCATACAAGGCGATGAAGCAGAGTTTGACTGTGATGAACAACTCTATGAAATGATAACAAAATGCACAAGTGTGAATGCCAAGATGAATAGGTATTTGTTAAAATATCTCGACTAAATACATTTTTTAAATAAGACATTCATAAACATGCTGTGTTATATTGCAAATCATGACAATTTTCAGTCTTAAGTAAGATTGTCATACACATTTATAAGACCACAGAATGACATCAGCAAATATAACCATCCAATGTAATACACAAAAATTAATTGCGTATTCACCATGCTTCCGCATTGATGATTTTCAAATATTAAGTTTGATCGTTCCCGATGAAGTTACATATAGAAGAATGCTTCGAACGTCTACGTTTATATTTTCATAAGTTGTCCATTAAGTTAGGCACGTATAAGTCTTAATCATACATATATTATAACATAAGATGGATAAGAGGAGGAAAATATCAAGCCACCGAGATCTTTAAAACTCATAAGTAGAAAGCACTGACAATGACATGGCAAAAAATGAAACTACGATAAGACATGAATACAAAAATACAACAAAAAGTAAATCTATAACTAGAGACTTAACAAAACAAACCCAACTAAACACTGGGGCTGGTCAAAGTTTCCCCTTGAAGGTAATTATATCCATCTGCACTAGGGACCCTTATTAAAGTTATTTAATAACAACTGATACAATAGACATATTAAGTCATCTGTAGTTTGGCGATAAAAGAATGACAACTCTTATATTTAATATAACGCGAAAGATTTTGTCATTTATCTTGTTCAGTGAATACGGAAATTAAGTTTTGTATAAGTGTTTCATCTTTAGAAATGTGTAATGTGTTAAGTGAATAAATGATTAATTGATATATCTATTTTAAAAGATGTATTTATATTTTTGTTCATGATTTTAATTTTATAGATGTATGTCGTGTTTTTATTTTGCAATTAAATCTAAATAAAAAAAAATATCAATTGCAGGAATGTAACGAGGTATCAAGGACTGTTTTGGCAGCATCGATATGAAAAAAAAAAAATTAAAGAAATCACCTGAAAAGAAGAAAGCAAACAATACAATGTAATTATTGAAACATATGGTCAAAAAAAAATAAACGGATCCATTTAAACAAAATTTAACACAAACAACTTGATTAAGCTGCGTAACTTATGCTTAAAAACAAAACCGCTCCGTTTTGAAGATCTTAGCCGCGTTCTTTGGCAAAACCTTTCGGAATTTTGGGTCCTCAATGTTCATCAAATTTGTACTTAATTTTGTCTATCTAACGTATTTGATTCGAAGGTCACTCACTGATGAGTCTATTGTAAACGAAACGCGCGTCTGGCTTACAAATAAAAAAATTAAATCCTGGTATCTATGATGAGTTTTTTTGTTCACTTGAACAGCGGTACACATTAACTACTATTGCGTTTATTTACAAAATTTCATTCCTGGTATCTATGATGAATTTATTAGCCCCTATTAAAGGATTTACGTCAAATCGATACCTCATATATATCGACTTCAAAAGTAATATACCTTAAGTATGAGAGGATAAACAGATGATACAGTAACTAAAGATAACTTTGATGTAGTATCCTTAAATAAGAGGCATTGTAGCTTACCAATATTCAAAATCCAAAGATCCATTAAGAACATACAAATCAGGGTAAAAAAAACACTGATGGAATCGCATGTCTTTCAAAACAACAAAACGAGGTGCGTCTACATGCTATTAAAATGGTCCAAAGTCATAGTATAATTTTGTGTGAAGATTTTGCTGCACTTCTGATGGGACTAAATATTAGCAAAGAAACGATATGGGTATCCATTTATGACACAAAATCAGTACATCAACAGCAAAACAAACAAAAAGCAAAAGAACAGCGCTGTTATAGCTGTTGCACATCTAATGTTTTTTAGTCTGTCAGTTATCCAAGTCTAGATTTTGCATTTTAAATTTTATTCTTTTGAATCACATAGATGTGTTTTTGTAACTGAAATCTGCAATAAAACTTTGCAGAGCACCTTCTGGAGCATTTGAAATCTCCCCCTGAAGTTGGTCGAGTTTGTATTGCTCTGTATTTTGTTTTGTATGTAGTTGGTTTTAAGTCTGTTAGTTGGATATTCGTCGTTTTTCTTTTTGCCATTATTTTTAATGTCTCCTTTTGCTTTATAAGTTTTGGATCGATAGTTATTTACTCTGCAAAATCTTCAATTTCAGTGAATAATTTCAGAAATTTTTCAAATAGCTATTGTTTAAAATTTTTTATTATTGATTTCTTTACCTGTTTGTCTATACATCCATGTTGCCATCGATGATGTCCCAAAAGGTTTTTAGTCTCTGTTATAAAGCAGGACTGAAAAGAATTAATTTAATGGAAAGTTTAACATACATTGGTTCAATAAACATACAAATAAATTAATTCAAGACTGTATTAACATCGGTAAAAATATGAAGTCATGAATGTACCCTTAATGATTATTTAATATCTCAGTTTGGAATCTATTATGGTGACGGATAATATGATTTCGATTGGAACACTTCGTTTTGAAGATCCAAATTGTGTTTGCAGTTGATTAAACTGTATTTCTTTTCTGCTTTTTGCAATAACAATTTGATCATATTTATTTTAGAGAAAAATAATGAGCTTGACTTTGGAGATGGTTTTTAATACTATTGATAACCCTGAGTCCTACGATTACCGTTTAAGTAAGTATTGATTAAATTTTGCAAGAACATAGAAATAATCTGAGCGTACTACAAAACGCTTAGATATGTGAAATCAGCTACAAGCGAGTGAGTTTTGTCCGTTTAGTAACATATAGAAATTAGGGCAATTAGGTATGAATGACAATTAGAAAACTGTCCATAAAAACCGAAAAGACAAAGAGGTGAAGCATTACATGTCACCATACCGCCATCGAAAATAAGAGATCCTATACCGTATAGTAGCCACTCAAAGAGGCCAGAGGATGACTACATCTATAACATTTCAAATGGTAATAAAAACGACAGCACTTACACCCTTCCACAAATATTTTTAATTTTGATTTAATATATAATCTTGGATTAAACAGAATTTTACGGGAACTATTACCTATTAGTTAATTGAATATAAAAATCAAGGAAATAAGTTGACTCTTTATTTAAAATGTCCAAGGTAACGTATACCTGATTTTTATTACATAGAGTTATCTGGGTGCATTCGTCTGGATGTATAGAACTTGGACACTTATAGCAGATTTTTGACCCCACTGGAAGTGTTGGTTCTGCAAAAAAGTTACGAAACTACTTTTAATAAGTCTTCATCACTATGTTGTAAAAATAAATACGATTGCAGATCTATAAGCTGCACTAAAAACAGATTTCTTTTGTAATGAAAAATGTAAATATGCTACATATAATTACCGGAATTGTGATGAGATGATAAAAGGGGGAAAAGTCATGTCTAATTAATGATCAACAATTTGTCTAAAATTCTCATATTTGATTTGTAACATGCTAAACGTATATCGGAATTACAAGCAATCCCAAAAAGAAACAATTTTTAATGCGTGAACTCTCGTGCCTATTTTAGACTAGACACACACTATAATTAATCTTTGAGAAAACCTCCAAAGACTGCTGATGGTCATACTATCTGATATAGACATACAAAAACTAATGAATAAAGAAACAAGCAAGTGCAATCGTCAAATAACGATGTTTCTAGGTCTATTTGAGTTCTTGTTATTATAGATTTAATCATGTTAATCGTCGTTTTACCTGTACATAAATAGGTTTTTGTCAGCCATCACAATGTTTTTCTGGTAGCTTCCTTGTTTCATAATCTAAAGTGTGCATTAGTTTTTTCGCAATTTTCTGCTAAGAGTCAAATTATTGTAGCATGAATACAAGGTCAAATGAGTTGAATTACTAATTCTTTTAGCTCATTTTGACAAAAAATTTCCAAACTGACTGAAAATAGGAAAATTTAAAATTTCCACTTTTATGAATGTTGAAAAAAAAACACCATATGTTATGGTTTTTGTCAAAATCGTCGCTAATGCCCCAGTAAAGAATACCCTCCTCGACAGCATATATTGGCATTTGGTGCTGTCCGTGATTTGTTTTTTCGGTTGTTGAATCCAGCCGTCACTTTTTTTGTTTGGATTGTTTCGCTTTTTTATGCCGATGGTCTAATATATCTTACTATACGGTATAGGTTTTGCATATTGTTTAAAGCCGAAGTGTAATCTATAGTTGCTTACATCCGTGTAAATAAGACTCTGCTTAATAGGTGCCTCATTGAAAATCGTACCATAACTCCTTATTTTGATATCGCATTGGCTTGTTATAGTCTGATTATATTTGTATAAAGCATGTTCATACTTACTCTTTATACCACATCCACCTATGTTACATAGAGGAAACAGTTTTGAATTGCAGCATTCAGAACAAATAACAGTGCCAATTGAACGCTTGATATTTACTGTCGTGTCGACTTGTCTTCTTCCAAAGGCAGTGTTTAAATTGCATCTCTATAAATACAAAACATGCTAGTTTTATAGAATATGCATAGGTAAATTGGTTAAATTTTCACTCAAACAAGTTTTATAAACTCATATCAAAAATTGACAATAAAACAGAACAATATGTCGTTTTTTATTGTCAAAGGTATAATTGGTCTGTTCATGCCGCTAACTTGTTTATCAAATACACCCCTCGGTAAAAGGTAAACGTACTATCAGTTTGTTCATTTTAAGGGACGTATTGAAAATGGAACAGTTTTTCAATTCCTGTGTTTGGTGTTGATATACACCGTCAGATTAATACTTTGAAGAAATTTAACGAAAGAAAAACAAAAATTGTAGACCTGTCGTCTGTATCATTGATAATATATATAAGAATATATCCTACAGTTTTTCGTACGTTATGTCAGGCGGGATTATTTTTCTTGAGGAATGTTTTTTGTTTGCTTATTTCCAGAGATCAATATAATAGCTAGCATATACCCTCATGTACTTTCTTCCTTAAAGAAGATGGAAGATACGTAAAAAAACAAAACGTGACCATTAAAACCTTGCGAACGGGTTTGGCCTTATAAAACGCAACATTTCAACTTCGCTTAAATTAACCACTTGACAGTCTCCTTTTTAAATCATTAACTTTGTTTTCAAAAGACTATTTAACTGTTGGACGAAATACCATGAAAATGACACCTGGTACTTTAAATAAAAGTTGTTGTTCATGCTGGTTACAAGAAGACGACATGTGTGTACTATACGAATTGCTAATAAATTTATGTTTGTACCTTTATTACTATTGAAAATTTGAGCAAATAAAATATTTCTACCGCAATGTCCTTATATCCAAACATCGTATAGTACATTACCATCGTTCGCTACATACTCAATATAAACATAGACAATATTACTGTTGTAGCAAATACCACTAAAATAACACTTCAATATATACGGTGCCGGATCGATTACTCGTAAATTGAATTAAAGGTATTGTTCATGCTGATTACAAGACGACGACATGTGTCGACTATACGAATTGGTAAAACATATATGTGTGTTTCTTTATTTCTATTGAAAATTTGACTAATTTAAATAATTCTAACCACAATGTCCTTACAACCAACATCGTATAGTACATTACCATCGTTCGTTACATACTCTTCAACACTACATTTCTGAAATATAAAAACACACGAGAAGTCAACAGCATTAAAAATATATATCGTGTCCACGCTCCTCTAACAAAGTTCTAATAACTATTCTTCTTTATGTTTACTCTCTTGTTTTATCGTGGTAATCCTACAAAATGTGAAGGCTACAATTTTAAAGCTGATAAGTTAATACCAGTACAGACGTAGAGAATGAAGTGTGAACAAAGCGTGGAAAAGGGATATGTTTAAGTCATTTGTGTGATCCATATCATTTGTATATCATTTATGTTTTGATTTTAATCGTATTCCGTATCTGTGTGAGGGAATTCAAGGTTGTTATGATTTTTTGCAAAAAAAAAAAGAAAAAGAAAAATCCAGACCCCTAACAAAACGAAGTATTTTTTTTTGGTTTAACTGGTCGTTTAATATTACATTTTTATATTGTAAAACACTCAATTGGGTTTGAAGTATTCTTGAAAAAGATATTTATATATTAATATTCAAAGTTTATCATCGATTGCCATTTTCATCAGTAGATACGAATCTTATACAACATATCATGAACATGTACAATCTATTCGAGGTGAGGGAAATAGAAACAGCAATGAAACTTTAGACAAACAACATTAACATCGGTATATAACAGATACTCATCGTTTTTTACTACCTCATGAGGTCCACATTTTGTAACAACAGCACAGTCCTCTGGTTGGTAAACCCCCTTACAATCTAAACAAGCTGCATCACCTGAAGAGGAAACAAATAATGGAAAATTTTCCATTCGTTAGATGTGTTAACGCTTTTGATTTTGCTATTTGATAACGACTTTTCAGTTTTGAATTTTCAAGTGTGTGTTGCTTACTTTCATTTTGTTATGATATGATTTTTCATACATTGTATTAATATGTGTCATCTCCAATTGCTGTCATTTTGTTCCTGCTGTAGAAAATAAAACGACTTAATGCAACTGTCATACAAGTGGGAGGTTTAGCAATAAACCAGGTTTAGTTCACCATTTTCTACATACGAAAATCCCTGTACCAAGTCATAAATATGGCAGTTGTTTTACATTTGTTTGATGTGTCTAAGCATTTGATTTTGCGATTGCCATTTGATAAGGGACTTTCCGTTTTGAATTTTCATTGAAGTTCGGTATTTTTGTTATTTTTACTTTTTGAATATTTTCTGTTATGAGATGCTCAGCAATGTATATCAAATGATTTTTACTGCTTTCCAGCCCCACGGGTGATTGGCGAATAGAAGTATGGTCACCATTGGTCTTCCTCCGACCGGTAGTAAAGCCCTCGCTTAAGTAGGGCGTCCGTTTGGCTGTGTACAAATTTGCAGCCACGTCTGGTCAGAATGGGGACGTTAAATCCGATGCCTCTTGTTAAGAGAGTGCCACGCTCTTTGCACGTTAGAACCCCTGCAACAACTCTTTTAGGGGTCATAAGGTGACCTGTTGCAAGGCTCAATTTTGACCCTATCCAATATACCCTCATTTCCCGTGGCAGTCTTAATTTTTCCGACCTTAATCCCTGACGCCTCTATTACAGAACCTACCTATTGTATTTATTGTTAATTTGTTCTTGTCCTGAATAATGTGAATATGCATGAAGTATTTGCCACTGGTCGTTAAGCAACTAACAATCAATCAATCAGTTTTACTGCATTCCTTTTAAATATGATCTCAGGTGCTCCGGAAGGGTAAGCAGATCCTGCTCTACATGTGGCACCCGGGAAAAGGGGACGGGATTGTAGTTACGACATTAGGAAGATATCCGCTATCATCCGTGAAACGGATATTCCGTAACGGTCAACCAACTCGTGATGGCGTCCGTAAAATTTACGAAGGGATGATTTCAACTTCACCATTGTAACTCTTGGTTTAACAGCTTCCTTGTGAGCAACAACCCTCTATCATGGAAATCATGATAAAAAATACAAGCCCTAGAGTATCGTATCAACTGGGAGATATATATACTCCATATGCAGGCGCTGCTGGAATGTTGCTACATAAAAATGGAAAGTTCACCATTTGGAAACTGAAATCATCCCCCTTTTGTCATAAAGTTTTGTTTTCAACCGACCATCATTTTCAATTTCTAGATGTAAGTCAAGATATGAGGCAGACTTAACTGTATCTGTTGTATCCTTCATCTCAAGTTCGATGGGATTGATGCGTTCAACATAGTCACCAAATTTTGAATTATTTAGTGAGAGAACATCATCTATGTAGCGGAAAGTAAAGTTAAAGGATACTGCTAACTTCTTTTCTTTCTTCCTAAGAAGTTCCTGTATGAGGTCAGCCTCATATGAATAAAGGAACAAGTCGGCAAGAAGGAGGACACAGTTGGTTCCCATGGTAATGCCGATTGTTTGTTGAAAAACACGTCCTCCAAACGTAACAAATATGTTGTCAATCAAGAAATCAAGCATCCTGATAATGTCAGTTTCAGTGAATATTTTATTAGATTAATCCCTCCTAAGATTGTATGTACTCTAAAAGATCTTTAGAATTTTTTAGTATCCACATCTGATTAACGCCTCGAGGTAGTTTCATAATAACTTTGAAGCCCTGCTTTGATTACTGATGAAATTGATGTTGATAATTTAAAAAGAGATTTCGTGGAGCACTTGGAAGACCCAACAATATACCGTTGTTTTTAAGGACACTTATCAGGTATCCAATACAGTGATGGAAGATCCAGTTCTTCATCTTTGGTTGAAATTCCAAAGGAACATAGAACAGAACTATGATTATCCAGGATCTCCTTTTTAGTAAGTGTCGTGGGGGTATATGTTAAGTTTCCAAGTGAATTGTCAATACCTAATTTATTTATCAAGCAGTTTATGTAATGTGATTTACACACAAAAACGATGTTGTTTGGGGCTTTATCTGAGGAGACAACAACATATTTGGCATGGAGGAAGGATAAATTCGGAAAGAGTATCTACGTCTTCTTTCTCGCGTTTAACCCATTGCCTGGCATAATCCCCGACTGAATCCATCAGTATTTTGAAGTTGTGTTTCCAATTGATGGATTGAGGCTCACGATTTAGGCTCAAAATGTGTTATAGGAAGCTGTATTACATCATTGAAACGTCTTTTAATGACAACTGTTAACAGAAACTCATAGCCCATTTTTTTTTCAATTTGAGCGGGGTTACTAATGGAGCAGGTATTCCAAAGCTATCCTGCAGATATAAGATTACTTCCGGTTTGTAATGGATTGTATGTTACACAATCGTATGCATTGTTTTGCTAGTTCTAAAATGTTGTTTTGATCTTCTCTTTTTACTATTATATTGTTTGTGATTTTTGTATCCGCTCCTTAACATCCTTCATTAATTTTTTTACATTAGGTAATGAATTGTTTATCTTTACTATAACAATGAAATGATAATTAAAATTGTAAACACAATGTAAAATGATCAAGTACAATTTGAATTTGAAATCTGTTATACACATGTTCATGTAATATTAACATTATATATTCATAATGATAAACTTACTAAGATAACTGTCCTTGATACAAACAAACACACAAAAAATCAAACCTATGACGAAAAACTAAAATCATCATTTAGTTTATGACAAAGATCGTTTGTATCAGTTTAAAACAGATATTTTTATTTTCACCATGTCTTATACGAAAAGAAAATGAATACATTTATAAGGTGTCGACTGCGAAGCACAAAATTGTGCTTTTTCCGCAATGATATCAGATTAAATTAATGTTGTTGCGGTAGAAATAATTTGTGTAAATAAAGCGAATAGAGCGCATCTCAATAAGTAACACAAATACAAAGTCGTTCTGGAAACAGCACATGATTGTTCTTGTGTTGCATAAATAT